TATATTTTTTTGATGGAATCCTTTTGCTTGGTTGACCTATATTAGTTTATAGGTCCATACTATGAGGTGAGCGGCCATCCTTATCCATAGGTGGAGGTGCAGATTTCACGGGGGAGCACTGCAGTCTTTCTGGAGCACATTCTATATCAAACACCTTTATTCTAGCACAATATTTGATTGAACTGTTCCAATTATAAGGACTTTTATTGTATATTTTATATGTATATATGTACATGAATATGGCGTGTATGAGAGAGAGCAACACTGATTTTCAGATTGGATTAAATGATATCTTCTACTTTGTTATAAAACATATCCCATAAAATCAGATTTCTTCATACATGTAGTACAACGTGTATTCTGCTCCGTGTCTTTGGTAGAAGCATAGCTGAATCCGTGGATATTGATTGGTCTGTGTGAAGTTATGGCGTCTACAAACTATGGGATATAGAATGGAATTTATGCAGCTTTTACGTCGCTGTTACTTTCTGACTGCCGATCACATTTCTTGAGGCAGTAAAATGCCCGGACCTTACAAACATCCCCAAATGTCCCCTTTATGGGAAGGATACATCCCAAGGTATGTGCTGAGAGGCATGTTGTGTCCATGGAACATTTACAGTGTTTGCCATAAGTTATTGGAAAATGAAAAACAAAATGTAATTTAATGAGCTTTTTCTGGCACACACGCCTTGGGAATATGTGGAATTACACCCCAAAACACATTCTGCTACTTCTCCCCAGTATGAGGACACCCCAAGTGAGCGACTTTCTGGCAGCCTTGCCACATGCAGCTCCCAAAATCCAATGACCACCATAAGGAGGCTTAGGCAACCATGTAGTGTAGACTTTGACAGGCTGCAGGCAGCAGGGCTGGACGCTGTACCTGTGCCTACCAGGTGTATTATAATGCCAGCATTGCACCCACAGGGGCCGGACCCCCCATGTACAAGGGGCCTAAGAGATACCATCAGCTTGTGTACCATTCCACCAGACTCCTAGAACTGGAAGAGGACATTTTTGGGGGGATCTGTTGTAGAAGAACCCAGACCACAGTATTGTGCTGTGAAAATATCACCCAACTTTATTCATCATATACATGTGACACTTTAACAACAGAAGGAAAGAGATAGATTGTTTACATTTCAAGGATCTATTTATACCATTTATATCATCTATGCTAAGAAACTGATTTATGATATGACACACCCCCTCATTAATACCAGCCCCGTCCACTTATGTAACCCTACAAGGTGAGAGGACCTGAAGGAGAACAAGACCATGACCACCAGGACCATCGCCTGACTGAAGCCATGCTCACATTTCTTTCTAATGCTGCTTCTATGGTCTACTCAGATACAGATTTGGCAGATGTACATTCGTGTCTTCAAGGAGCTGATCAAACATGATCTGTGCTTGACCATCTTTTTTGGGGTCCAGAGGTGACATTAGGTCTGATAGACCTCTTGTGTTTCTTTAAAGAGGATCTGTGACCAGCAATATGTTATCACATGCGAGGCTATTAACCCCCTATATGGCAATAATAAAGTTCAGAGAAAGAAAAGTGTAAAGTAACACACTGTAAATGAAAAAACACAAAACACATTTTAAAGCCCCCAGTTCCCGTATACATGAGCAATTGCAAGGGTTGGGTGCGGTTATGTAGGAAAACATCAATCACACTACACATTGTACATATCTCTGCACACACCAGAGGGAGAGGAATAACTCTAGGGCCATCATTCATTCATGGTTCACTATATAAACTGATGACCTGTAAAGGCTTTGAAAGCGTCACCTATGGACAATTTCTGGTACTGAAGTTTGTCACCATTTCACAAGCACATGCCATTTTTAAAGTTTGCATGTTTGGTATCTATATACTTGATGCCAACCTCATCTTACATATTTCATCAAATTGGGTCATATATTGTGTTTGTCTGCACTGGAATTATCGGTATTGAGGTTTTTTTTACTGAAAATATGCATTTCATAGACAGCTGTGCTAATATTGTGTGATAAAAACCACCACCATTTTATTCTCCAGGGTCTCTGCTTTCAGAAAATAAGAAAAAGTTTTTGGGGTTTTAAATAATCTTCTGGCCTAACAATGTGAATGTAATCATGTGCATAAACAAGCAAAATTAACTGGCAGCAAAACACACAACAGCAACAATGTATACAATTATCATCAAATCTATAGTAGCAACTAATGGCCTAAGAAGCAAAGCCACCATATTACTCAACCAAGTTCCAGCTAAACCCATCCAAGAAAATGGATCCCACTTCCCCCCACCCAGGTGACTGTTGGAACTCCTTTACCTTGTGTAGATATCTCCTTCTGAGATCCTCATGATCTAATATAAATGTACAACACTCTCTGACACCAGTTTGTAGACTCTGCATTGATCTTCTGAGAGATAGTCAGCCGCCATGCAGTTCTGTGACACCACCTTAGGTGATGGAGCCACTTCTGCTGTCAGCTCTGCTATACCATCAATGGTGTCATTGGTTATCTGATCCATGACTCCAGTACACCGGTTCATCTTACTTATCTTAGATTACTTAGATTCCCCATCCCGTCTATGAAGGGCTCACTGCATAAAACATCTCCACTCCAGAGAAAATGTTTCTTCTCACTGGAAGGCCAGGGGAGTATTGGGAGAAATTAAGGCTTTCCCTTACAGATATGGGGGAGGGGCAACATGACCTAAAGTACAGCTATGGGTGGAATAGAAGGGAAGCCATTTTAGGGCGCTCCTTCCACACAAGAAGCAATGCATCTGGAAGGACTAGGAATCCATTGGACCAATGGGGATTAAACATTCTGCAATACATTGAGACAACATGAAATGTTACTGGCCTGTGATTGGCTCTCCTATTGTTAGTGAAGTGAGACTCCCCTTGTCGGTGTCATTAATGGAAAGAAACCATGTGAAATGTTTCCCCCCAAATCCAAAAAGGTGACCCTCTTGGGTAGGTAGCCATCCTACTATTCCTGATATGAGTTTGTAGTCCCTGCTACTACAGGAAACATGCGGGCGATCATTTACACCTTTTACAGCAGGACAGTAAATATCAGAACACAATCAAACATCAGACCAACAGCAGGAAGTCTGCTAACTGAATGTGTAATGCAATCTGTCATTAGCATTCCCAGAGTTCCCTCTGCAACATAGTTGTATCAGCTGTTGGTCCTGTCTGTACATCTGTTATTTTCCCACCTTCTGTAACAGGGTGACAACCCTGATCATTCTGCAGGAACATTACACAGCAGCGTTGTCACCCTGTACAGGGAAGTCTTAGATAGATTATAAGTAAGACACACAACAAGTAAAGCCCAACTTCAGCTAACGCTTCTACAGCAGTTACAGCAACAGGTTCTCTATAAGGTCCAACCCCCCATATGAATGACAACTGACAGTTGTGAGCACCCCCAGCAGTGTTATAGGATTTGCCCCAACCCCTCCAACTGCCATTTTTCCCAAAAGACTTAGTCTTCTACAGGAAGTACAAAAAAAAAAAACAATCTACTGCGAGGTACAACAAAAAAAAAAAATAAAATAGGAGAATCAGAAAAAAAAACCTGCTCTGCTAATGACAGATTTCATTATTAATGTCATTATGATTTTGCCCATAGTTACACTTTGGTGCCAACGTTGTAATATTTCCAGGGAGAAGAAGTTTTCTTTACAAACTTTACACCAAAAGAGATGTGTGCACTCAGAGTGATTATTGTGAACCCCAATCAGAGGAATGTCAGTCCCCCGGAAGAAGTGGTAGGAATATGACCGCACACTCAGCACTTTGTAAGTTCAGATCTCTGGCAGTTGTATTGTGTGATTAGTCTATGGAGAGGAGTAATAGCTGGAAAGAGAAAACATGGAACAAGGATTTCTGATCTTCACCTGATGGAATCCCATTTGGCAGAACCACATGGAACACAAGTGGCCAGCTGGGCTTACGTTTTACTGCTGAATACATCCCCTAAATCAGCAGTAACTCAGTATTGGAAGGCCTGCATCAGCTTGGATGTTGTTTTCTCACACTGAACAGAGACTTCTTTCTAGCTGGTGTCACAGCCGCAGACCTGCCTGAAAGGTTGTCACCCATGAGATGATATCCTACAACCTCACAAACACCCCCTTTCCTCTCTGTGATCACAATCTCATCACCTTCAGTCTCCTCATCTTCAAACACCTATCCCTCCAATCAGCAATCACCTGCAGAAACCTTCACAACTTGAACCCTTCTCCCTTCCACTCTGCAACTGACCAACTCTATGACAGAATCTCTCCCCTGTCCTGCCCTGACCTGGCCACTGCTGTCTACAACAGTTCACTTTCATCCACATTAGACTCACTTGCTCCTCTAACAACATGAAGCATCAGGCCCCGACCATTACAACCTTGGCAGACTGACAACACCAGAGATCTTAAACAACATAGTCGTGTGCTGGAGCGAATGTGGCGTAAAACCAAATCTCACCAAGCATTCACCCGATATAAATCTGCTTTCTTCACATACAATTCCTCCCTCCATGCTGCCAAACAAGCCTACTTTGTCACTCTCATCAATACCTTGTCATCAAGTCCTTGTTGTCTCTTCTCTACTTCTAACTCTCAACTTTCTCCACCTCCACCCAGTACCTCACTCACTGCTCACGAGATTGCAAATCATTTCAAAAACAAGATTGATGCAATTCGTAGGGGCATCTCCACTGCACAGACATCCATCCCACTTAGCATACCCTATACTAAATCTCCCTCAACACTTTCCTCTTTTGACCTTGCTACCACTGAAGAGGTCATTAAGGTTTCTCAGAAGCCCGTCTCACTACCTGCCCCCTGGATCCTGTCCCCTCACAACTACTACGGTCATCCTCTTCTTCCATCCTATGCTCCCTCACTCTCTTCAATCTTTCCCTCTCTACTGGTGCCTTCCCCTCCCCTCTAAAGCACGCGCACATCACACCCATACTTAAAAAGCCCCTCCCTGGACCCCCACCAACCTGAACAACTTAAGACCCATCTCCCTGCTGCCATTTACCTCTAAACTCCTAGAACGCTTAGTCTACAATCGCCTGAGCTCCTACCTCACCGACAACAACCTTCTCGACCCTTTACAGTCTGGCTTTCGCTCACTACACTCCACTGACACTGCCCTACTAAAACTCACTAATGATCTACTAACTGCTAAAACCAATGGCCACTGCTTGTACTCATCCCAACCAATGGCCACTGCTCCGTACTCATCCCAACCAATGGCCACTGCTCCGTACTCATCCCAACCAATGGCCACTGCTCCGTACTCATCCCAACCAATGGCCACTGCTCCGTACTCATCCCAACCAATGGCCACTGCTCCGCACTCATCCCAACCAATGGCCACTGCTCTCGCACTCATCCCAACCAATGGCCACTGCTCCGCACTCATCCCAACCAATGGCCACTACTCACTCATCCCAACCAATGGCCACTACTCCGTACTCATCCCAACCAATGGCCACTACTCAGTACTCATCCCAACCAATGGCCACTACTCTGTACTCATCCCAACCAATGGCCACTACTCAGTACTCATCCCAACCAATGGCCACTACTCAGTACTCTTACTGCTTGACCTCTCTGCAGCTTTTGATACAGTTGACTATCCCCTCCTCAAAAAAAAAAAACAACTCTTTTTGCCTCCAAGACTCTGCTCTCTCCTGGTTCTCCTCCTACCTATCGCAGCGCTCCATCAGCATTACCTATAAACTCTGCCTCCTCCTCTCTACTCCCTCTTTCTGTAGCGGGTCCCTCAAGGTTCCGTCCTTGGACCCCTACTCTTCTCCATCTACTCCTCCTCCCTTTGTCACTGAATAAACTCCCATGGCTTTAAGTACCACCTCTATGCTAATGACACACAAATCTATCTACCCCTCACCTCACCCCTTCAATCTCCTCCTCACCTCGCCCCTTCAGTCTTCTCTCGCTTTACTAACCTACTAAGCGACATATTGGCATGGATGTCACTCCACTTCCTCAAACTCAATCTTTCCAAAACTGAACTCTTAGTATTCCCTCCAGCCTGTGCCCCCTCCCCCGACTTCTCCATCAAGATCAATAACAAAATCATCAGTTCCTCCCCTCATGCCAGGGTACTTGGTGTAATTCTAGACTCCCATCTGTCTTTTCATTCCCAAATCCAATCACTGTCCAAATCTTGTAGACTTCTCCTCCACAACAGCTCCAAGATATGGCCGTTCTTAAGCTTGGAAACCACTAAGCAACTTATTCACTCCCTTGTTATATCTCTCCTCATTGGCCGACCACATTGCAGGCTATCCCCTCTTCAGTCTATCATGAATGCTTCTGCCAGACTCATCCACCTTTACTAACCATTCTGTATCAGCCACCCCTCGCTGCCAATCCCTCCACTGGCCTCCATTCAGTGTCCTCCACCCCCCTCTGCCAATCCCTCCACTGGCTTCCCATTGCCCAACGGAGAAAATTCAAAACATTAACAATAACATATAAAGTAATTTATAACTCTGCCCCAAATTACATCACCAATGGAATCTTCTACTCTTCCAACCAGTCCATCCCCCAGTTACTACCTTCTGTACCACTAGCCCCTCCCTCCTAGACTGTAAGCTCCGAGGAGAAGGATCCTCCTATTCCGCTTGTATTTAACTGTATTGTTGCTGTATTGTCTCCCGTTATATTGTAAAGCGTTGAGCAAACTGTTGGCGCTATATAAATCCTGTATAATAATAATAATGAGAGGAGATGAAATGTGGAAAGAAGGCATTGATAATGGGAGAGGAGATGGAACATGTAATGGGAGGATTGGACAAGGTGGGCTTAGCTGGAGACCTCAAGCCTGGCTGATGATGTATCAATAGTCAGAAGAACCTGGAATGGACTCTCCCACTGAGGCTTCAGAGACTTGGTAAGATAATAGACCCCATCCTAGTCTCTGGTACTGAGGCAGTGTTGGTCATGTATTACCTCAGGATCCAGAAATGAAGAAAATGCTTGGAAACACAACTCAGTTGGTATATCATGAAAATGCGTTACATGTTCATTCAAAGCTCCATAAAAAAGATAAGGATGAGAATCATGAGGGAATCTGTTCAGTTATTGATGCTTATCTTAAAAAAAGATTGTCAAAGATAAAATATTCAAATCCCTTCTAGTTGTGTATTGATGGACATAAGCACTAAACTCAGTTCATTCGATTACATTCCAGTTTGCTCAGATTTTAGTTTGTTTCTTTTAAGGTAACATTTTATCTTATCCCTTCTTCTCTAGCTTGTGGGATGACATTGGGGATGTGAAACTAACTTGTGACACCTGAAACTTATTTAATATCTCTTTTCTTCCAGAATTTAATCAATGCTGAAATTTGTGAATCCTCCGGTGATAGATTAGACCGGCATTAACTGTAAAAGTTTTGTCACATGGAGAGCATTAAAAGGACTTCTCTCCAGTGTGAATCCTCTGGTGTCTGATAAGATGTGACTTATGAGTAAAAGCTTTATCACATTTAGAACACTGATATGGCTTCTCTCCAGTGTGAATCCTCTGGTGTGTGATAAGATGTGATTTCTGAGTAAAAGCTTTATCACATTCAGAACACTGATATAGCTCTCCAGTGTGAATCCTCTGGTGTCTGATAAAACTTGACTTCTGAGTAAAAGCTTTATCACACTCAGAACACTGATATATCTCTCCAGTGTGAACCCTCTGGTGTGTGATAAGACTTGACTTCTGAGTAAAAGCTTTATCACATTCAGAACACTGATATGACTTCTCTCCAGTGTGAATCCTCCGGTGTGTGATAAGATTTGACTTCTGTGTAAAAGCTTTATCACATTCAGAACACTGATATGACTTCTCTCCAGTGTGAATCCTCTGGTGTGTGATAAGATGTGACTTCACTGTAAAAGCTTTATCACATTCAGAACACTGATATGGCTTCTCTCCAGTGTGAACTCTTTGGTGTACCATAAGGTCTCTCTTGCGTGTAAAAGTTTTGTCACATTTAGAACAATGATATGGCTTCTCTCCCTTGAACCTTCTGGTGTGTGATATATTTTCTCTCCATTGTAAAATCTCCAAACAAGAAGTAGTATGAAATGACTCCTCTTATGTATATGTGGTTTGGACTTTAGTGTAAAGCCATTGTCACTTCCAAAACACTGAAATTCCTTTTCTCCTGTTGTCATCTGAGGCTGGATCAATGTGGAAGAGGATCCAAACCATGACTTTTAGAACACAGATATGACTTGTATCCCGTGTAAATCCTCCAGTGAGCTGCAATAAAGACTTTCAGTCAATTAAGACACCCATATGTCTTGTTTTCCATGTGAGCTGTATTCATGAAGACCAACATGACCGAAAACTTGGTTCATCAATCCACCTGTACCAAAAAAAAAAAAGTTAAAATTCTATATAAAGGGCTACATAAAGTTGCTTTCTATTTTTAATGTTCATTACTAAATATATCT